CTTCTTTCACTTGTTCTTCTTCTTCTTCCTCTTCTTTCTATTTATAAGAAATTCTGCTTATCCTCTATTCTGCTTGTGTGATTATTTCATTCTTTTTTCTATTGTATTTCTATTTATTTATACACTGTACATTGCATTTTCTTTTAATGTCTTCACTTGTCTTTCGATCTCTCAGCGTATTTCTTGTAATTCTTCTCAGTACTCTCATGTCTGCCGATACAACGTGAAGTTGTATTCACTTGTCTTTCGACCTCTCAGCGTATTTCTTGTAATTCTTCTCAGTACTCTCATGTCTGCCGATACAACGTGAAGTTGTATCGTATTCTCCAGACACCATTTTCATTTATCGCTTCATAGATTCGCCTTAGATTTTTGTTCAGGCTAAGATATTAGACTTAATTTTTGCCCAGCATTTTTCGACTCCATTTCTTTCTATGATATATGTATTTCTGCTTTTTTCGGTATTTTTTGGAAAAGGTATCTTGTGGAGTCATCCTTTAAGCTTTCGACTTTTATCTTTGTGGTGTATTCTGGTGTTTTGTTATGACATATATGTGTTTTCGTTCGAATTTTGCGCAATATCAATTTATGATCGCTTCCTATTTATACTGCATCTAAATCTGCTGATGTAAGTGCTCTTATATCCAAGATTTGAGAGGGCTGTAACTTTCTATTCGACAGAATATAGTCTATCATAGATATTTGTCCTCTACCGTTTTCAAAAGTGTATTTGTATTGTTCTTGGTACTTTAGACTAACAATTATTTCAGAGGTATATTTACATTCTTCTACTGGGTGTAAAAATTGTCTGTAACCTAAAAGGGCGACTCCTTCTTTGGTTCTGGTTTCTTTCGCAACACCACTGTAAAACATCAGATAGTCATCTAGCACAATTTGATCCTTTCCTTTTTTCTTTTTCTCTTGTAGTGCACATATTTCTCGTTTTCCATAAATTCGTTGTCCTGTTGTAAAGCCTATTAGTAGGATTCTAACCTGGCTATTAACATTAACCTAGCTGTTAACATTAACATATATAATTACATATATTTTTAGTTACTAGCGTGTATTTTGTCTTCTCTTCATTTATTCAAAGACCCATAATACCTGCTTCCTTCTCGCATTGTGAAAATAACTTTCTCAAGTCTCTTGTCAACGATAGTTTTTATGCTTGATTCGCAAATCCCACGGTCAGCTTAGACGATATTTTACTTGACCACAGACCAGAAAGACACAGACCTTTTTACAGAAAAGACCAAGTTGTATGTAAAAAAAATATTGTTTAAACAAAATTTGAAAAAAACAATAGATTGTATCCTAATCATAGATTAAAATAATCTGATAGATTAATCATGGAGATTAATTCTGTCGGTCTTAAAGTTGCTGCAGCCAATTCTCAGCAATTCTTTTAGGTCGACTCTCTATAGTGTAGGTGGTTTACCTCTGCTTCTTTTCTCAGCTCGTGGTCTCCACACTGTAATTTTTTGGGTCCATCGCCTGTCATTAGTTCCACTTTAGCCATGCTATACACTCTATGATATCTGTGACGCCTGCTCTTCTTATTTTTTTGTTCTTAACTCTGTCTCTGATAGTCAGTCCAAGTAGCATGCGTTCTTCATCTTTAGGTTACTTTGAATTTGGTTGCTGTAGTCTGGGTTAAGAAAAGCGTTTCTGCGCCGTAAGTAATAAAGGCTAAAGTGATTTTTCTTTGCAGTTCAGCAGTTTGGTTGTCCCTAGCAATTTGGATTTCATGCCCTAGTATTTATATTTATAAAGTAATCCTAAGGAAAATGGTCATATAATCACAATCCGTCTTAATTCATTGTAGTTATTTATTGAACAAAGGTTTGGGCGACCGGTTTCGCTGTTTAAAAGTTATATAGCATCATCAGGCCCTTTAAAACTAAAGAATATTAGTACGAGGAACTATCTGACTGATATCGTTTAGTTTCTTGAGGGCTTGTTAATGCTGTATAGCTTGTAAACAGCGAAATACCTACAATATAACATGGATTGTAAGTATAACTTTTTTTCTTAACAATCATGAATATGTGCTCACACTAGCAACATTTTCATCATTTAATCCTATTTCGTTGCAGTCGAGCTTTGGATTTTCGCTTGATACTAGATTTGTCATGTATTGTGTCTTTCCAAAATTTGTATTCAAACCAACTTTGTTACAGGCAACACCAAACTCATTAAGCATAGTTCCAATATTTTTAAAGTTATCTGTTATCAGAACAATATCGTCCGCAAATCGTAGGAGCGAGAACATTTCACTGTCGACATTGATTCCTTTGGCTTTCTACTCCAATTTTTTGAAAGCTTGTTCCAGAACTACTGTAAAGAATTTGGGAGAACGTGTCTCTTTCCCTGCTTCTTCTATTGATTTTTATACAGTTTGTATCTTTATGTAGTCTTGCGGTCATGGTTGCATTATTGTATCTATTCGCGATCAGTTTGGAGTACCGGTAACACAGGCCAACAAAAAAAGATTAATAAAACTTTTCTTACAAAATTTATATGAATCCTACGTATTTTTTGGGGCTAAAAAAGAATCTAAAATTAGATTTTACGTATATTATATTATAATAATTTGAAAAAGACAAAATACCGAAATACATTAAAATATACATTATTAGAACGATACCTTTTATATAATTCTTATCTTGTAATAATATCGGTCTGTACAATCATTTTAAAAGTTAATGCTTTTGTATTTTCTTTCTCTTTTTTCTGTAATATTCTAAAAGTAGCTTTTTCTCTTATGCGAAGCGCTCTGTTGTTCCCGATGAAGTGATCAACAGTAATCACCCATGATTATGCTATTTCAACGTCGCTTGTATCGTTTCTTCATCATCTTGATATCCTGATGGAATCGTCCGCCTTGTTCTTCACTGACATGACCCAAATTTTTAGGGAGAAGGTCAAGATGGTTATGCAAAAAGTGGATTTTGGGGTTCATTAGATAGCCCAAATCTTTAAACGTATCTAATAAATTAACTGCTATAAGGTCGTAGTTAGGGTCTTTTACATTACCTAAAAACATGGTTACAACTTTTTTGAATGTAATCCAAGCTTCTTTTTCCTTAATAGTCATCTTGGTTTCAAAGGTGGAGTCAAACATAATTTTACTACGAATATCTGGTCCAACAAAAAAACACCTTCCTTCAATTTGGCTTCTGATAGATGGGGAAACTTTCCACTCAAGGAAATAAAGCATTTTCCATCTTTAGGCAGGGCCTTTGAAACACTGTTTTAATAAGCCTAACTTGATGTGTAGAGGTACAAGGAGTATATTTTTTGGATATACCAAAGTTTTGTACAAAATGTTCGTCTCGTCAAGTGTTAAAACATTTTTGTGGCTATTATTCTGAAGACCACTGTTTATCTCTTGTTTTACTGTCCCATTTACAAATAAAACGTATAAACTTTGTAGCTGATTTTCTGTAGAATTGTATCTACATTTTTTTACAAAGATTTTCATATTATGTCTATTTTATATGGACTGAATGAGCAATAGGAAGTGAAGCATAAATGTTCCCATTGTGTAAGAGTACAGCTTTTAAACTTGTTTTTAAAAAGTCTATAAAAAGCCTCCAATCATCCTTATTATACTAAATAACAAACTTATTCATTAGACGTGAATATCGTGAAGTAGACCCAATCCTCTTTCTGCCTAAAAAACTGAGCAAAGTGTTGATCTCTGTACCTATACTTGTAAATATATACCAGGCGACAACAAATTCTTTTGTTTTAATCTTAAGCCAAGCAATTCTGATTTTTCTTTTGTTAAAACTAATCTCTTACCAAGTTATCTAACTCAGCTTGTGTAAACAGCTGTGGTTGTAAGTTTTCTCAAGGACACTGAAATTCACCATCACTTTCTGAACTACTTTCATTAAAGTCCGATTCTCAAGTATTTAAAATGTTATCAATACGTAGAGGAGACTCAGGGGCTGATAGTTCAGGTCTATTCCCTACCGGACAGATAGCAGACAGGAGGTTATAATAAACAATCACCTTCTTATCTTTGGATTTATATCCAGAAACATCGACAGTATAAAAATAATAATCATTTAAATGATTTTTTTGCTCTTTTCGTACAATTGACACTGCAAATCTGAAATCTTTTTTCTTTCTTGGACCACTTCCTTAAATCCTCAACACAAACATAACATACATTGTGAGGAGCCCAACATTTATCTTGGTCACCAATTTTTGCACCAAAATATGCAAAATACAACTTTTTTACAAAGTCAGTAATGTTTCTCAGGTGCTTTTTAATAACAAAATCACCACATATGTAACAAAATGTATTTGAACAGTTTTTACAACCGCGACTAGCCATACTTAAAAGCGTTTGAGGTCAAGTATTAAAAAGTGAGGTTATGTTTATTAAAATAAAAGAACTATACAGATGTTAATGAAAAGGCAGAAGAACAAATAATGTTGTATAATTCATTAACACTGCTACCAACCAAGTAAAATTAGATTTCTTTGATCTTTAAACAAAATAAAATGTAATTATCCACTTTTAAATGTTAAATTGTGAAAGAATGGTGAGTGATACAGAATGTTTAATATTATTTTCGGACTCTGGACACTAAAATACAGATGGAGGTAATTTTATCAAAAAAGTTTTTTCATTGTTGGTCTGTCTAATATACGCGACTTTCTTCCAACGCTCTCATTACGTTGTCAATTTCTATCGTATTGAATGCTTTGCGAAAGTCTACGGAAGCCAGGACCAATGGTCGGTTGTATTAGACGGATTTTTCTATAATCGCATTTATACAGGTGGTAGTTGGTGCCAAAGTTTTCCATAAATTCTGTCTGTTGACACATTAAACCTACAACTCCAGGAGAAAAATAATACAGTATCACACATAATTGGTCCAATTGAGACATTTCGCAAAAAACTTAATCTTTTCGAGAACTGCATGAAAATAAACGACCTCACACATTTTTCTGCGTGTTTCGAAATAAATCAGGAAGACAATATGGTCGCTTTATCGAGGTTTGCAAAAGTTCTTACAGAAATAAAAAGAGAATTCGATGAAAGGTTGTCGGAATTTGATGCACTAAAACCCGATCTTGAGCTTTTTAACAATCCAATGGGAGTCAACATCCAGAACCAATCAGCAGAATACCAACTAGAGCTGTGCGAACCACAGTCAGATTCGTTTTTTCAAGCAAAGAAAAATGAAGACATTAGTACCTCTTGTGGGAGTTAGTCTCCAAGGATCGTTTTCCTAAACTTCGTAACTTTGCGTTGAAACTATATTCAATGTTTGGTAGTACGTATATAATATATATAGTATGTGAAATACATATTATGTGAAAGTACATTTTCTGCTTTAAAGCATATTAAATCTAAAACACGTAATCGCATGGAAAACGATACTCTGGAAGCGTGTATTAACTACGACTAGCATAGATATAGATATGCAAAAGTTAGTAGAGGATAAACCCTTGCCCCAAATATCCCATGGATTTTTTATTTTATGTTAAATTTTAAACATAACATGTAAATTGTAAACCATAGTAAAATACTTGTAAATAATATTTTGTTTGTATATTATTTTTTAAAATCGGAAGAACTTAAAAAATAACATTATATCACACTAGTGTAAATACTAGCACAGATGGAATATTTCTTTTAAACCACGAGTACCATTTTTCTTCTTCTTTCCAAATTCGAATCAAATAAATTACTGGTAGCTAAAAAGAGAAAAGACCGCATATATCTCAGAATGAAAAATTGATTGCGATCTCAACTTAACCTTATTCATTGGTTGAAGTGTAAACGCACCTTTAAGTGAGTCACCGTGAGACAGATTGCAAACCTTTGATTCGGCCGCTCGCGCTCGCAGGAATAATTAATTGCAGTGCTTACTGCTTAATTAAAAGAAGTGCAGGAACTGCCAAAAGTTGTTTTTCTTCGTCAAATGTCTCTGCGTGAGGGATCGAGTCGGGAGTCCGTTATATAAAAGAATTTAATTAAACATGTTAAGAACTACAAAGATGCACATTAAAGGCTTTTATTACCGGCATAAACGGACAATGGGAGTCTCGGATGCGATGTTTTCCTCAGACAAACATTAATCGATTTTTAACGGATTGATAGCTGTTTTTAAATGGTAAATAAAACAAAAAGTACCCTGTATGTACGTATTGATGCATCATGTGGTGGACCGTTTTTGTTAGAAGTGTTTTTAAAGAGTCTATAAAAAAGCCTCCAATTATCCTTATTATACTAAATAACAAACTTATTCATTAGACATAAATATCGTGAAGTAGACCAAATCCTCTTTCTGCCTAAAAAACTGAGCAAAGTGTTGATCTCTGTACCTATACTTGTAAATATATATATATATATATATATATATATTATATATATATATATATATATATATATATATATATATATACCAGGCGACAACAAATTCTTTTGTTTTAATCTTAAGCCAAGCAATTCTGATTTTTCTTTTGTTAAAACTAATCTCTTACCAAGTTATCTAACTCAGCTTGTGGTTGTAAGTTTTCTAAAGGACACTGAAATTCACCATCACTTCCTGAACTACTTTCATTAAAGTCCGATTCTCAAGTATTTAAAATGTTATCAATACGTAGAGGAGACTCAGGGGCTGACAGTTAAGGTCTATTCCCTACCGGACAGATAGCAGACGGGAGGTTATAATAAACAATCACCTTCTTATCTTTGGATTTATATCCAGAAACATCGACAGTATAAAAATAATAATCATTTAAATGATTATTATTATTAAAAGACATTAGTACCTCTTGTGGGAGTTAGTCTCCAAGGATCATTTTCCTAAACTTCGTAACTTTGCGTTGAAACTATATTCAATGTTTGGTAGTACGTATATAATATATATAGTATGTGCAATACATATTATGTGAAAGTACATTTTCTGCTTTGAAGCATATTAAATCTAAAACACGTAATCGCATGGAAAACGATACTCTGGAAGCGTGTATTAACTACGACTAGCATAGATATAGATATGCAAAAGTTAGTAGAGGATAAACCCTTGCCCCAAATATCCCATTGATTTTTTATTTTATGTTAAATTTTAAACATAACATGTAAATTGTAAGCCATAGTAAAATACTTGTAAATAATATTTTGTTTGTATATTATTTTTTAAAATCGGAAGAACTTAAAAAATAACAATATATCACACTAGTGTGAATACTAGCACAGATGGAATATTTCTTTTAAACCACGAGTACCATTTTTCTTCTTCTTTCCAAATTCGAATCAAATAAATTACTGGTAGCTAAAAAGAGAAAAGACCGCATATATCTCAGAATGAAAAATTGATTACGATCTCAACTTAACCTTATTCATTGGTTGAAGTGTAAACGCACCTTTAAGTGAGTCACCGTGAGACAGATTGCAAACCTTTGATTCGGCCGCTCGCGCTCGCAGGAATAATTAATTGCAGTGCTTACTGCTTAATTAAAAGAAGTGCAGGAACTGCCAAAAGTTGTTTTTCTTCGTCAAATGTCTCTGCGTGAGGGATCGAGTCGGGAGTCCGTTATATAAAAGAATTTAATTAAACATGTTAAGAACTACAAAGATGCACATTAAAGGCTTTTATTACCGGCATAAACGGACAATGGGAGTCTCGGATGCGATGTTTTCCTCAGACAAACATTAATCGATTTTTAACGGATTGATAGCTGTTTTTAAATGGTAAATAAAACAAAAAGTACCCTGTATGTACGTATTGATGCATCATGTGGTGGACCGTTTTTGTTAGAAGTGTTCTGTGAGAACATTTCATAGAAGATTTCTCACCTAACTGTGTTGTACTATTGAATCTGAGTTTCTTTTTATAAAATTCTACACGGTTTCTGAATTGTTTATTTTCTTATACCTGCATGGCATTTACAGTGACACGCTACCATACCGTTTTTTATAAAAAAATTGTAATAAACATATTAGAGATCATTATTTAATTAGTCTTTGTTAGTTAGTTACGATACTCAGAATATTAAATGGATACTTTTTACATAAACTGATACACAGCTATACATGGATTCAGAAAACACGAAACATAAAATCAATAATCGATTATGTTGTCTTCTTCTTGCAGTACCGTCTCCTATCGGAGGTTGGCTACCATCACAGCAATCTTTACTTTGTTGGCTGCAGCTCTGAACAACTGTATTGAACTGCACCCATACCACTCCCTTAAATTTCGCCAGTGTAGCAGTGTCCAGGCTTCCATGCCGTGTAGCAGAACGGAGAAAACATAGCACCTTAACATTCTCGTCCTTAAGTTTATATTTATGTCCCGGCTGCACAGGAACTTTTTCAGTTTGACAAACGATTGTCTCGCTATCTCTATTCGCCTCTTGATTTCTCTTGTCTGGTCATTAGTATCAGTGAAGCAACCCCTAAATATTTGTAGGACATTACTCTTTCAAATGGCTGATTATTTATGGTTAAATTCACATTGGTGTATAGCTTCTTTGTTATAATCATGAATTTAGTCTTTTTAATTTTCAGTTTTAGACCATACTTATAGGTATGAGTGTTTAATAATTATTGTAATATGTTTTTTCATCAAAAACTGTAAATTTGCTAGGTTACCTGTTACTATTAGCGTGTCATCAGCGTATCGTATATTGTTAATTAACTCTCCGTTAATGTTCATACTAATGTTTTGCTCTAGGAGCGCTTCCTGACATATTGTTTCGCTATATATATTGAATAATAGTGGAGAAAACACACAACCCTGACGCACACCTCGACGAATCTCAATTTCTTCGGTGAACTCATTATCAACTTTGATTTTTGCTGTTTGTCCCCAGTACAACCTGGATATGATGTTAATGTCGCGACTGTCGATGTTTTTGCTTCTTAGGATTTCATACAGCTTTTGGTGTCTGACTTTATCGAAGGCCTTCTCAAAATCTATGAAACCTACGTAGAGGTCTTGATTTACATCCAAACATCTTTGGATTAATACACTCAGACCAAACAAAGCTTCCCGTGTTCCCAGTCCACCTCTGAATCCAAACTGTGTGACGCTTATGTCACGCTTCTAATTTATTAAATATTCTTTTGTGAACTATTTTTAAAAATAATTTTTAAAAATACTTTTTTTAAAAGTATTTTTAAAAAATATTATATTGTAACAAAACAAAAAAACCCGACTGAGAGTAGAAGATGTAAGAGTTCAGAGAAGCGCAACATGCAATAGCGATCACTATTACATTCAAAAATACACTCCCATCCGAAAACAACAGAGAGAAACACAGACATAAACAGATTATTCAAAAATAGATTGGAGGAGAAGCTACAAATTTCCGCCCCTAACAATATCGACCAGTTATATGAACATATAAAAAACTGTTTACACGAATCAGCATTTAAAGCAATAAGATACTACATTAAACCCAAGGTAAACAAACCATACTGGTGGGATAACGAAATAGAGGAAGAAATCAAATGTAAAAGATGACTATACCAACAATATTTAATATCCAAATCATTACAAGACAAAATAAAATATAAAATAAAAAAACGGATGTGGCAGTCCAGTGGGACTGCCGGTAGAAGTTATACTTCTATACACGCGTTCGCCGTTAAAAATTTGTATGGGAGTCAATCTGCACAATCATTACATGTGTAATGCTATAGGTAGGAGAGAGCAGAAAGAGAAAAAGAATTAATTATATAGGTGTATGGTGCATCGTTTGCTGTATATAAACATTTGACCTGTAATAGGAGAATAGTAAATGAAGGATTGTATTAATATTTTAATCAAAATATATATTTTTATTTTTATATATGTATAAAAGGAGTTGAATGCAAAAAAATTTTTACACATACTCTGCAGTCAAATTCATTGTTTATTTTGTTATTAATATAAAAATTACAATATCATAAATACATTGGAATATAATTGAATATAATAATACAATATAAATTAAAATGTAATATTCAGAAGTCTTTAAAACTGCCAATATACATAACTTACTTTACAAAGATAAAAATAAAAAACCAACAACTGGAATTATGTTGTAAATTTTCGTTTTATTTTAAAATTTAGCATTTTTGCGTATATTACATATATTTAATAATATTACCGTGAGGTTTTTAAATATTTAAAAAATAAAATAGAAAATTCATAATTGGGATTCGAACTCACAACCACCAGCGTATGAACTAAACACGTAAAGACTTGCCAACTAG